ACGTTGATTGTCTCTCTCGCTTTCCAATTGACACTTCAGTCAATGAAATCAAACACCCCTTAGAGACTAGAATACTAGTCGTCAACATTGCCGCCTTAGTTCAGGACGAACAAAGTGAATCAATTGCTGTTGCTCAAAAGGAAGACCAATGGATAAATGTGATAATTGATCAACTGAAAAATTGGTCAAAATTATCAAAACGAGCACAGAGAAGATTAAACAAATATCATCTTGAAGATAACATATTATACAGAAAAATGAGAGGAAAATATCGAGAATATTTTGCCCTTGTAATACCAAACAAATTAAGATTGAAATTTGTAAAGATACCATGATGATGCCACCGCTGGTCATGGGGCATACAAAAACATTCAAATATCTCACAAAAATATTATTGGCCCAGAATGTCTAGTTTCATTTCAAAATATGTCAGTACTTATGAAAGCTGTCAATTAGTTAAATTGAACACATGTTACCCAAGGCCTACTCAATCCAATAATAACCACAAGACCATTCGAAAAAGTCGGCATTGATTTTGTTGGACCATTTAGAGATGTTGCCCCTGGTGGTGAAAGATACATAATAGTTTTCGTCGATTTATTTACTAAATATGCTGAAACTGAAAAACGGTTGATTGTAGTGCTCGGACTGTGGCTATTTTCTTATGGAAAAATAATCCTCAGACATGGAGCACCGAAATGTTGATTTGACAGGGAACTGGGTTCCTAAACAATGTTATCGCTGGACTAACGTGGCGGTTAAATATGAAACATGTGCATTCCACTGCACCATCCAAAACTAACGGTCAAGTAGAAAAAGTCAACGGACTAATTACAAATATTATCACCCATTATACAAAGAGACCCCACGAATGGCATAGTTATTTGTCACCACCTTCTGTTATAATATTTCAAACAATAAAACTCTTGGCTGTTCCCTTATTTTATGTTACATGCAAGGAACCAATCATGCTGAATGACTTTAACGATATTCCTAAGACAAAATATCGCGACCTGAAAGACTATGACAAATTGTTACGACGAATGGCCAAAGATGAGAGCATTGGCAAGACAATATGCAGAACACGAAAAGGGAAACAAAAATTGAATATGATAATAATCATCGTGATGTTCAATTTAACATCGGTGATTTGGTACTTGTTCAGATCCTCCCAAAACCAAAAGTTTACCCAAGCTTACTGAGGACCCTACAAGGTTACACGAAAATCGGAAACAATAGTTATTTTGTTAACGATTCAAGCTTCGAACCTTACAATGTAGAACGACTAAAAAATATGAACCGAGGAATCTTCGAGACTTAGATGTACCTGATCCTTTTAAATTTAGTCGATTCAGAAGCCTCAACTGAACCAGAATCGACGGCGGAAGAAATGTCAGACGAAGAGCTGCTCGATGGTGTCTCTCACAAACGTAAATTAACTACAAAAAGTAAACATATCAACTTTTAAATCACAAGAAAAGTTTTCGCGGTTAAGTTGTATATTCACATCGCTGTTACTTCTCTCGTTTCGTGCAAGCAAAATGAACTTTGTCCCTTCGAGTGATTACGTGTTAAATTATTTAGACACCAAAGTAGAAATTGGGCGTTCTGACGTCCAACACATACTTGTGATTGTCGATCCATGTGAAGCTCTTTTCCCTAATGTTTCGTATTCAGCTGATGAACCCAAAGAGACAAATAAAAGATCATTAACTCAAGAATGTTTCTATGATGCTACAATAAGTAAATTCAGTTACAAAAACGAAACAATAAATGGATTTCAATCTTTTAATCAACATCAATGTCCACCTACAAAAGAATTTTGCAAATTCTCCCCTTATTCTTGCATTACTCTTATGAAATTCTTGAAAAAGAAACTAAACAACAAAGCGCCAAATATCCAAAATGACGAAATATATACTGACTTTGTAACTACGGTAAACCCGATCTTTCAGCTCAACACTCAAACGTCTAAAAAGGCAGAAATAGTATCATCGCAAACGAAATGTAAAACCATGTACGATGAACATTTTATCAGACCCGTCAAAACCTGTAAAGAATACAAACAAACTCGAAAGAGAAGTGCCTTTTAGCCTCCTCTCTGATATTCGTTGGTGTATCGTTAGTTGTACCATCAATCGTCCAGATTTGGAGGAGAAAACTTCAATTTATAGAAGGAGATCTCGTCCGTCCGTAATGATATCTTAAGAACAGCTAATGCTACGAGATTCAACGATGAATCAATTTCAAAGTTGTTAGTAATATAACAAAGAATATTCACACTATTGTTGAGAGTTTAGAGAAATTAGAAATGAGAGTGAATAGATTGGAAGAAGTAATGTCAACCCTATTCATCGATTTCATTGAACTTATCCAACGGTTCACCTCATATCTCTAGAGCAATAAGTAATTTCAAAAGTACTGGAAATCTAAATGAATTCTATAATTCACTAAACTAGATCCACCTTGCAAGAATCGATGCCCGGTTCTAAAAACAAAGACATTCAGTTGTAATCATAATAATGATAATTCAATAACCCTTGACTATAGTGTACCAATCATAAGTGAAAACAAGACTTTTGTTGAAATCGAAACATTCAACAAATTGGTTAAACTAATTAATCAATCGTACTGTATGGTGGATTATATTGGCCCAAAAACATTCTTGTTAGATTTATACTCAAAACAATTGTGTCCGGTACAAACTAACAAAATCAAAGCTGTATCTGCTCCAGCCCCAACTGATGAGTACTTTCATTGTGATGAAGCTGAGACTTTGCAAGAAACAAATGCTTATTGGAAAATTTCTGACTGCTCACCTACGAAGCCAAAACTTTCGTTTTCTCAAGTAATCTTTGGTTACAAAAACATCCATATTTTTTGTATCAATCGAAATATAACGATCGATGGAAAAAATTATACTTGCCCAAATAATCCATTCATCTTATCCCCATCAGAATCATTTTCTGTTGGTAATTTTAATTGGACAAAAGATCGACTTCAACTCAAGCAACAATATACATTTGATATAAAAGAAAAGCTCTCTCTCTCTCTCTCTCTCTCTCTCTCTCTCTCTCTCTCTCTCTCTCTCTCTCTCTCTCTCTCTCTCTAATCAAATTAATCTACCTTTATATTTGAATGTTATGTAACATTTTATACAGCCAAACGAAATGAGTTTGAGGGTAAATTTATATCAATCGCGCAGGTAAACCCTTGGGACCATGATAACAATTAGAGTTAAGATAAAATCAAATCAACACATGTAATTGTTTTGTTTTGATCTTGTGTTGTTAATTTAATTGTTTCTAATTATGCCTCGTGCTTACAGTCCATCGATCAGAAATCAGGCCATTTATTTGATTAATCAAAATTACACTAACGGTGACATATCTCAACAATTAAACATTAGTATTTCAACGGTGGAAAGATGGAGACAAAGGTACAATGAAAGAGGTAACATTGATCATGATTATGTTAATTGCCGGTCAACAAGTGTTTTAGATGATGAGGATAAATTAAGAATCTTATTGAAATTTCAAGAAGATCCATTTGCTCCCGCTACAACTATAAAAAAAGAATTAGATCTTCATTGTCATCCTGAAACAATTAACAATTTTCTACGAAAAGAAGGGATAAACTCTTATCATGCAGCAACTAAACCTAAACTTCTTCCAGTGAACAGAATGAATAGAGTGACATGGGCTCTGAATTATCGGGATATTGACTGGAAAAAATGTATTTTTGTCGATGAATGTTGTGTTTCATCAGAAAAAGATGGCATTAGAATTGTGAAGAGGACAAGAGGGGAGAGATACAATCCGAAGTTTGTTAATTATTCTGACCATTGTCATCGACAAGTTGTATCAGTTTGGGGTTCAATTTCCTATCATGGATCGATTGTTTTCTCGATTCGAGACTCAATTCATCAACTTATCATGAAATACTTTCAACTTATGGTCTCAGTCTAATTGAAAATCAATTTGGATCATCTCTTTGCTATTGGGTTCATGATAATTGCCCAGCTCATAAAGCTCGTATCATACCTGAATTTTTCAATTGGTTTAATAGTTCAAATTCACCTCATCATGTAAACTGTCAAATGTTGAATTTATCTCCGTATTCACCTGATCTTAACTTGATTGAAAATGTATGGGGAATGATGAAATCTGATTTTCTTAATTGTAATTATTCAGCCAAGACAAGAGATGAGATGAAAAATATGATAATTAATTGGTGGTCAGAGAAACAATTAGACCCGAATTTTGTAAATCACTTAGTGAATCAATGCAAGAAAGAATTGAAAATGTAATTACTTATGATGGTTATCCTTTGAAATACTAAATGATTATCTTATCTTGATTAATTGTTATCATGATCCCAACGGTTTACCTGCGCAATTGATATAAATTTACCCTCAAACTCATTTCGTTTGGCTGTATACAGCCAAACGAAATGAGTTTGAGGGTAATTTTATACCAATTGCGCATCGAAAGCGATAAGAAAATCTTATCAATCAAAACAATGGTAAATTTGAATGTCTTGATTATCTAACTACTGATAAATTGTCGTTATCACGTTTGCTGCGCGAATGATAAAAAATTACCCTCAAACTCATTTCGTTTGGCTGTATATAATGATTAAGATGCTACTGATGGTCAATAATAAATATACCAACAAAAATAAGGCTCCAGGGTAAATTAAAGATGAAATTGAAAATTGTTCACTTTTGATTTTCAACCCTACAGCCAAACATTTGGTTATCCATACACAAGAAAGGAAAAAGAGTTGAGTTCATTTGAAGAGGTTGATTATTATTAGTTGACTTCTTGATTAGATAAAAGTGTGAAAACAAAATAAATTAAATTTTTATCATCTAATCAACAGAATCACCAATTAATTTAAAAATGGAAACACTGATTAGAAGAAAATTAAATTAAAGCAAAAATTAACAACTTAAATTAGAAAACAATTAACCTTATACAATCAATTTTCTTCCATCACTTTGATTGTTTCCAAGGGAAAGAAAAAGAGAATAGAATTTCCATCGCCCTCTGTCTTATTCTCTGTCTTTTTTTCTTCTCTTCTCTCATTGGTCAATTTTACTTATTCTTTTTTATTCTTTTCTAAATAATTTCAGTTCTTATTTACCAATTAACGGAAGTTGAGTTAATTTAAATTCTTAATTGTTTTCAATTTGATTGATTCTAAAATCGATTTGATTTCATTTCAATTCTCAAGATCAACTAATTGTTTCAACTCGGATTCAGTTGATCTCGATTGGTGAAGTTTGGTGATTCTTTTTGAATCTTTGTTGTCACTTGTTGATTTGTGTCTTAATTGTTGCCGTTGTTTTAAATTGTATTAATTTAAATTGCAACTCTTTCTTTTCAACATCTTAATCATCATCATCATATTCCTTTTATATGGGAAAAAGTTTGTTAACAATTAGTGAGATGATAATTGTTCAACTTTCAACCTTAAATCATAAACATTAGGATCATAAAGAGTTGACTCTTTATGTCGCCATATTGGATTGTGTATCTTTTTCGCTCATTTGAATTGATATTTTTGGTGAGTATATTATTGTTTCTTTTATTTAAACTGTTTGTTTCATTTAACTGTTAATTAGAACGATTAATTTTAAGTTTACCTGGGAAATTTTGTTCTGATTCGTAGTGATGTTAGAGTGTTGATTGTTGTGGTGTATCTAATGTGTGAAAATAATGTTGTTACTTTTTTGTTTTCTAAATCTTAATCTAAATCACTGCAAACTACACATCATCATAATCATTGGATTTCTAATTGACTTTTTGTGTCTTTTTTTCTCTCATTTTAGTTAAATCAGAAAATTAAGAAGGTGGAAAAGTATGCAGATTAAACTGTAATCTATTCTTTGTTGGTTCTTGTATTTCTCTTTTGATTGTAATCATTACCTTTTCTTGTTTTTTTTCTCTCTCTCTCATTAAGGGTTAAATGAACAATTAATGAGCCATTTATTTTAACAATCGATGGGTGAAAGCACAAAAATAATCAACTGACCAGTTTGTTTGGATAATCTGAACATGGGTGTGGAAGGAGAGCCTTAATGCCAACAATGGACAAAGATCAAACCTTATTATCAAGTTACTCCAGATAAATTAAAGACACAAATCAATCAAAGATCTGAAGAGTATTGTTACAATTGATTATGTCCATCCGATCGCAAGGGTTACTACTGAGTTGACTTTAATTGATGGTCCACCATTCGTGAAAATTTGATATTTACATGGTAAATGTTGATAATTTTCATTCTGATTACCTGTCAACCAAAATAACTTGTAATCTGTTTCAACTTTTTCGATGATTATCTTATATTATAATGTTGTGTGGAGAGAATTGATTAGAGTTTATAAATAATGATAGTGTTGCTGTTAATGATGATAATGATGATGATATCCTAATATACAGTCTTAATCATCATCATTATATTCAACTTGATTAGAAAGATGATATTTTAAAGTCACGATGATCAAAATCAAATTTCACTTTCGTTATTATGGATATAATCAATTGAACATTTAATCGATACATAATCATAATCATAATCATGATTTTCAATTGATGATAGTAAAATGTATTCATCTTTACTATCATAATTATCATCATCATCAACATTAATATCACAATTGTGCAAGAAAAAAACTCTTTGAATGTATAATTGTATTAATCATATCAACACACAATTGATTAAAGCAAAGAGTTAATCATAAATTGTATTGAAATGATTAAAAATGATTGACATGAAAGCAGAGGAAAAGGTTAGCCAAACTATTAGATGATTAGATTGATGGTGTGTTGATTGTGATTCTGATTGATTGTTGATCGATAATCATATTTTAGTATTTCCTGATCATTTCCATTGACAAAACAACTAAAATTCACTTTCCATTGAGATGATTAACTTGCTAATTGTGATTAACTGATTAACAGGTAAGAAAATAGCAAAAAGAAACAATTTTTACCGGAAGATTAAACATTTAACCAACTTTGTTTTCCGTACAACAATTAAAAATACAAAGACAATTAAAATATTAAATGTTAATCGCCGACGCTTGATTAACATTAAAATTAAGTTGATTGTCTAATTAACTCTACTAACAACACAATTTAAGTTGCGAAAAAAAATTAAACAGAAAACAAAATTAATCATTTGGTGTAAATGATTAATTTCATTAGAAAGTATAATTACAATTACACTTTCACTTTAATTGTAATTACAATCAAATTTAATTGTAATTCTTTATTCCAAAAATCTAATTGTTAATTTCACTTTTCACCCAATCCACTTTAATCACTGATTATAAATTCAATTCAAGGTTAGGCTATTTAATTGTTACTGATCTAAATTTTCTTTGAGAAATGAAAATTAAACTGAATCAAATTATTTGGATGACAATCAGAATTGATCATTATGATTTTAATCAATTAGTTTTAAGTGCTAATTAAATTATTACATTTAATTAGAAATATTTTCTCCTCTCCTTCAATATGATTGATATGAATTAATGAATAACAATTAACATTTTCGTGTTGAGAAACATTTTGTTCATTTAGTTAATTGTTGATTAGAATCGTGATTAATTGTTAATTCCAATGTTATCAAATTAACTTCTTCAGTTGCTTTTTTATTTCCAACAATTAACTTGATTTAGTTGTATTGATAAACTAATAGTTATTTTCTTGTGGTCACTATATTGGTGATTAACAAACACTAATTAACTTTAATTAATGTGATTTTTATAATTAAATGTTAATTTACATGAAATAACGGTTTTCCTTGATTCTAATTTCAATTATGTGAATCAAACAATCATTTAGCATGATAATTATTTACAATTAAGGTGTAAAAACGATTAACATTAAATTGTTTGTTTGATGTTTAACTAAATTGTGAATGATAACAAATTTTTTCTCTTGTTAAACTTAATCATTTGTATTAATGTCTGTTAATATTGAATATTAACTTGATTGTTAACTTTAAAGTTACATAATTAAATTATGTCAACTTTAACTAACATTAATTAACTGGTCACTTGTTCCGAGTGTTTGATTTTTAGTGAAATTAAATTAAATTTAATCACATTTAATTCGTCTGGAGTTACTCAAGTTAACCGTGTGTAAAACAATTTAGACAACAATTAATTGTGATTAATTTCACTAATTTTGTTACATTAATACTGTTAATTGTTATCCGATCCGATCTTGTATTTCAAGGTTTTGATAGAAAAACCAATTAAAAATTAAAATCCATCCATAGTTAATCCACCATGAAGATCCTTAATTCTTGATGATTAAATTAAATCGTTTTTGTTTTCTTCTTGGAGAATCACAATTAAGATGATTTTATATCAATTCTATTGAGAAAAAGATGAAAAAGAAATCACAATTTAACTATTAGATAAAATGAATTCAATTTCCTGATTCACTGAAAAGGTGAAACAATTAATCAGGATAAATTATTTCTTCTTCTTTAAGGAAAACACACTCATGATTAACTAATGTTTTAAGGAGAAAAAGAGAGAAGATTAAGATTAATACTAATCCTTATTATGATCCAAATCAATTAGATGTCCAGGATTAAAATTAAATAATCAGAGCACAAGGAACATGATGATGATTGAAGATAAATTTCATTCCAAATTCAGTTACCTAATAGGCCTGAAGGAGGAAAAGGATAACCATTGATTTTTTGTTTCTTTTTCTCATTCCAATGTTACAAGAACTTCTTCAACTGGGTCATCGGGTATCTAAACATTGAAACAATCAGATTTTGATAATTTAAAGAGAACAATTAATATAATTGTAGAATTATTAAGAAGATTAATTGCAATTAGAATTTAAAAGTGAACAATTTTTCCAAACCTGTTGGGCTTTTCTATAAGAGAATAGAAAATATTGTTCCCTCCATTTTGGAATCACAAATAAATTCAAACACTTACCTTTTTCTTTTCATCTTTTATGTTGTTTAATTCATTTGGAGAGCAATTAAAGTTGATGATTAATGGATAAGAAATAGAAAATTAGAGAGAAAATGTTAATTAATTAATTAATTGGAATAAAGAAGAAGATGAAAACAAGAGTTTGATCCAAACACACACACAAGAGAGAAAGGAAATTCACAAATTGTAACTGATTACAAACGAATTTAAATTGTTTAGATTAATTTAATTACAAGAATAGATGATTAACTAAATGAAAGTCCAGCTTAGATGTATAATTAACACGAATAGAAATTAACTTAATTGTGTTAACAATTAGAAATGAACAGAAACCAAATTTACATTTTCTTTTCAATTTCTTGTTCTCCTGGTGGTGAACATTAACATAGAGATTGAATCATATGGAAAATAAGATTAGAGGGACAATTAATTTTTCTCTGTCAAGTTGATCGTTTTTAATTAAATTCTCGTTCTTTTTATTGAGCAGTTAATTTTCCAACAAATTAGTTGATTTAATTGTGGTTTTCTTTTTAAATAGCAAGTGACATCGTAATTACGACTCTTCAGTGATTAGATTTTATCTTCAACAATGGATTGTGACAATTAGTATTTTCTTGTGTTTACAATTTGTTTTTCCTTCTTCTCTAATTGTCCATTTTTCTCAAATTGTTTTAGTTTAAGTTGAAATTTATTTATAACAATTTGGTGCTCATTTCTAATTGTAACTGTTACATCAACATGCAAAAATTATCTTCGTTACAATAAACAAAAGTGAATACAAATGTTTATGTAAACATTTTTATAGGAACAACAACAACAATCAACAAACAATTATTACGATTCACGATTTTTTATATGAAGATTTAAGAAAAACTAGGAGTCGTACAGACATGGAAAAAATATCAACAGAAACAAGACAAAAATCTTCAACAACAAAAAATAGAGCCAATGTCATAAGGGGTCAGGGTCAAAAGTTATTAATTAATGAAAAAAATGTGAAAAATGTTAATTAGATTAATAAGAGGATTAGATGGAAAAGAAAGAGAAAAGGGGAAGAGAGAGAGAGAAGGGATGAATTATGACGTTCGGGGCAATGAAAGGGGAAGAGAAAAGAAAGAGCATCAGATTCATGTAAGTTTTTCAATTGTATCAACCGCACGCCCTGGGATATTAAAACTTTGAGAGGTTAATCAAAGATACGATTAACTACTCTGTTAAAATTAAGGTTGACAAAATTTTCAAGAAAAAAGACAGAAAAGATGACATTCATGAATCCATCTCCTAAAATTATTCAGAAAAGCGATCATGTTGATCGCTTGGTTTTCCTTGTTATTATTATTGATTATCTTTTATCTTAATTGGTTGTAAGATTTAATAAGATGCTGATTATGATATAATTTACCTTCCGGTTGGTGTATAAACGATGGAGATGATTAATATTAATCATAACAATAAAGGTAAACCTCAAAATGTTTTTTTCCATTTCTACCAACACAACTACTCACTTACTTTTATTTATATTCTAAAATCTAAAATTCATTTGTTTTCTATTCTATTTGATGTTTTTTTTGTTCTTTTCCAGGTTCTTATGTTACCTGAAGAAAAAAGGAGATTATTACCATTTGGGAGGAAGAAGAAATTGAAACAAAAAGTGTTCCAAATGAAAAGAAAAGAAAAGGAGGAGACCAAGGATAGAAAAGAGCACCGAGAGGTTCATGGTATCATTGGAGAATCACCGATAAGCGAATATTTAAATAATAGAATAGATTAGTTGATGATGAAGAAGATTAACTGATAATTTGGATAAGATGGTTAAGATATAAGTGAGAGAGAAAAGAGAGTTGTGAATTAACTCAAATATAATCTTTTTGTTTGATTCCAAACCCAAGAGATGGAAAAGATGAACATGAAGCTTATCCTGAAATCTACGATGATTATTTTTACATGTTGACCAGAGTGAGAATCTTTTTTTATCCATCTAATTATCATCATGATTAAATCTCAAGCAATTAACTCGATTGTTATTAACTATGTTTTCCTCCACTTTCAATTTCTCTCTTTCTCTTTCTCTCTCCGAATTTAATCAATTTCCATTTTCTCGGCACAATTAACACTTCCATGTTAACCTTTCACATAATTTCATTTTCTTCACCATCATCATGTTGATTCTCATTAATTTACTTGTTTTCTTTTTCTTCAGGATGATTTCAACTCTCTCTCTCCCTGAACGTGCTGATTCAACAAAAAGCTCAAAATTTTCTCATGATGATACTTCAAAACAAGATAAACATGAACACCATCAGTAACAAACAAGAATCACTTCATAAATATGATAATACAATTTAAATGGAAGGACTGAAAACAATCAATTCAATCGACCTGATTTCTCAATCTACTGGACAATCAACAATGAATATTTTGTTTTCTCTCTCTACAATTACCTTAAAATCATTGACCATATATACATAATATTTTAATAATAATATAAGAGTGACCATTAACATTAGCAAAGTTCAATTCTGTCAGTTATCACAATCAATTGATAACGTTAAGAAATACATATCGGAGCAAAAGGAGAAATCAAATATACACTCACTCACCATACAATCAACTTTAATACTCAAACAATCAAAGGAGATCAAACTTCAATCACTATTATCAACACTTGTAATCACAATTAAACCTCCCTCTCAATCTTTAAATTGTGATTAACCATTATTGGTCATTTGATAATCACCTTAATCGAAATGGTTTGTTTTCAAATCTCCTCTTAATCCTTTATAAATATAAAAGGTTAACAATTTACGATTAACCTTTTTTGTTCATCTTAAATTGTATTTAGTTAATATCAATTTAATTGATAGTTTCATTGTATTAATCAGTTTCTACTTTTTTCATTATTTCAGGATAATCAACACAATCAATTAGATTTATTGAAATTGGTCAATATTATGATATTCATCTTGACAATTGATTATCTGAACAATGCTAACGATTGATGGTTAATCAAGAATCATTAATTCAATATGGACATTTGATTGTCAACCATAATTAGGTTGTTAAGTCTCGTTGTCTTGGTTATTTAGGCTGATTTTTTAATTCCTTTAAATTGTTAACTACTTTTGATTATTATCAAGTCTATTTGATTTTCTGTTTCACTGTTAATCAATTACTTGATTATTTTAATATATAATCAGTTGATTGTTTCTATTGTCTAATCTTATGTTTATTTCTTACAATTTTAACAATTGAGACTTTAATTGTTAGTGCAATTAACTTAATAAACTAACATTATGTTACTTTTAATGAGATACAATTGATTGTGAACAATTTACAATCAGTTATTACTTATTAACCCCTTCAAGTTATTTATGATTAGTTGATTAACTGATTGTGAAGGTTGAAGATTTGAAAAATTTAACATCGATTCCAATCAGTTAATTAGGTAAAGGATCAGTTGATTGTAATTAGTCTGATAATTTAATATTTTATCTGCAATTTAGCTTATTGAGTTAAAAAGATTTCGTTTATCAATTGAATCGGTAAGTTATGATTATGATAAATGAACAATTTACAACAAAAAAACGTTTAATTGTAACAATTAACTAATCATCTTATTCTTAAAGGTCAATTTAAATTGTGTTTAATTTGTTTCATTTCTTTCAATAGGTTACGTCAGTACATTGATACAAATTTAATAATTAATTTTGATTGTTGATTATCAATATTTTCATTTTTAATCAATTAAATTAATTATACAATACGATGAACTTTAATGATAAGATATGTGTTGATTTGTTGATCAATTGTATTTAATCAAAGGTTAATTGTTTGAAAGAAATTAATTAATGAAGGAAAAGCTTAACAAATAAACAAACAATTAATTGAAAACAAGATAATCAACAATTAACGTATAATGTTTTTACATGATGGCGATGACAAAATGTTTGAGATGAAATTAATTGTCTAACAATTAAATGATTGACCTAATTTGATTGATATTTTGTTAAGCTAATCAATTTGTAGATATTTGAAATTATTAACAATTGATTGATCATCATAATTAATGAATTGAAGGAAACCAACAAAGTCAATGCCAAATCTCCTACTAAAGTTTAATTGTTGGTGAATTTTTTACTATTAACCAGCAAATGATAATTTACATCAATCAAATTAGCAAATTGTTTATCTCAATATTGATAAACTATTATAACGATTTTAACTGTTGAATTTCAACTCCGAGTCTTAACATTTGAATGAAAACAAACGAGAAGCTAAATAAGGAGAGAGAGAATAATAAACAATCGAGATAATTTATCATTGGATTAACTAATTGAGGTTTATTATTGAATACGAACAATAATTGGTAATGAAAAGATTGATTCATGGAGACAGTTGTCAACTCTGTCCAACTCCTCGACCTTCTTGATAAAGTAACTGACCGAGACCAACCTGAGCATGGACATCACCTTTATCGACCAAGAATTGATAATATTGTAATAGATCATCGTCTAGAATACCAGAATAAGAACCAGGATTCTCCAACTCATCAAGAAGACGAACTCGTTGGATTGTTGTTCCTCCAGAAATGACGACTTGACGATACCGTCATCATATTCAATCTAATCCTTTATTTGAACAAATTGTTGCTGGAAAATTATTCTCGATGGTCAGAAATTTAAACGGGTTGTCTACATACAAATCGTTTTAAATTGATGATGACACTTTTATACGTATATTTGTGATTATTTTTTATTTTTGTACATTTAATAAAATTGACAATTAGTGAAGATTATTGAGCTCTTCGTAATCTTTTGATTTGTTTAGCTTCTCCTGAACTATAATTCATTTGATAATGATTTTCGGCGATAACATTGATTATTGTTCCATCAGGTTGGCGGAGTTGTTCAGCTTTTTCGCTTAATTTAATTGTAACAATATCACCTAAATGTGGACAAGGATTTTCTCGTGATCCTCCCATGAAACTTAATATTAAAGCTTTTTCCACTTTACCAACCGAATTTGAGTTCTTAAATAGCTCTTGAGCTTCCATTATCTGTCTCTGGGATAATTGTAATCTAGGAGCTGTTGTGTTTGTTGTTGGTGTTGTTGATGGTGCTGGTGTTAGTGTTAGACCAGAAGTTGGTGTTGTTGATACCATAGGAGTAGCTGCGGCCACTGGTGTAATTGATGTAGTGGATTGTTGAATAACAGATCTTTGGACCTGTTGGATCACCTGTTGATTAGCTGACTGTACCTTTAATTGAGAAGAAATGAAATTAGAAAATCTGAGTGAAAAATTAAAAAAGAAAATACTCACGATTGTAGTTGATTGTTGACCTAGTGTTCTGTTTGGTACAATTGTGATTTGAACGGAATTTGATTGAGTTTTTGTAGGAGAAACTTGTGGATTTGGTACAATTGTGGATGGAGTAGATAAAGATGAAGATGAAGATGAGGTTGAGGTTGATGGAATAATTGTTTCATTCATTGGTATTGATGATATTGTTTCGACTTCTGATTTTATCTTTGTTGGTGATGAACTAGAACTTGATGGTTTAGGTTCTTCTTTAATTTCTTTTGTTTTAGTGATTATTGACGATAATGTTGGTGTCGTTGGAGTAGTCGGAGTAGTTGGTGTGGTCGGTATTGATGTTGACGTTGATGTTGATGTTGCTGAGGTTTCACCTAAATATGGACCGGGTGTTGGTGGAACTGAATAAGCTGGGGCAGGACTTGGAGGGACCATTGATGTGAGACCCAAAGCATAATCAGGAGTCGCTGTTGAATCTTGTTGTCCATTTGTTTTGTCATTTTCTTTTTGTTTCGCTTCTTGTTCTTCTTGATTACGTTTCTTACGTTTAGCATCTCGTCCTAATGGTTGTTCACCGATATCCAATAATTTAATTCCACCGTCACGACGAACTCCAGGTATTGTTGGTCTTGTTGGATTACGAACACTTCCCGCGCTTCTATTGGCGGGATTGGGTGTTTTAAATGTTGATTGTGATGATGATGTTCCAAATGATGTACGAGCTTAATCTTTGGTGGGGAGATTATCACCAAAAATCAGCGCTTGTGAAACTATTTCCATGGCTTTAGTTTCACCGTATCCACAAGTAGATTGTAAGCTTTTGGTTAGTCCGCTTCTGCCAATCTCATTTGATTAATTCCAGAAATCAACGGCGGTTGAACAAGATCTTAAGATTCCAGTTCCCGATGCATGAATTTGAGCCAAGTTGTAAAACCCTAAGACATGACCAGATTGAGAAGCCATAGTGAAATATTTAATCGCTGTTTTATAACCTTTAGTTACACCAAGTCCACTTTGTCCAACTGACTTACCTGTTTGAGATAATTAATTTGAATACTATAAGTTAATGGTTTTTGATTTGCGTCAATTTATTAAGTAAATTGGTCAATCAGCTTCTACAAAGTTGAGTTAATTGATTAAAGAAAATAAATCTTTTCTTGATATGTTAGCATCTTGTAACTTTTGTCTCAAGATATTGATGTCCATCAGTTTATCTGGAGTTAGATCAGGTAGTCGACGTAAATTTGAAACCATTTTAATCAGCTCATCGCGATTAACTGTTTTGATTTTAACACAATCATTGACGGAGTCTCCAAGTATCAAGGAAATCAAATCAATCTCACCATTGAAACTGGACAAAAGATTAACAAGATCTTGTAGCTCTTTGGTTGGTCTTTCAATTGAAACAGGAATCTCTTCATCTTGGCGACTCTTTAGCGACCTCAGCTCATCCTTCAGGGAATCCAATTCTTTCAGCTTTTTAATGTAGTCAAAAAGTTCAGTCATCACGAGAAATAAGCAAAATTAACAACCAAACCAAAGGAAACCAAATTGACACAATCAACAAGTTGTAAACATTGAATGTTTACTAAACATGTGAATCACATGACTCGAGATTAGATGTCGCTACAGTTTAGGTGGAAAGTTTAAAAAACGAGAAACATAATCGATGAAAAAGTAAATAAATAAAATGAATTTTATTTTCCATCAAGATAATTTTTCTCTCATGGTTGAGGCATTCGACGAATATAAACAACAAGGCCTAATAGAAGAGCGAGAGCGGTCATCAAATAAAGATCCCAATCAGGACCTAAAACTTTTGTAACATTAACATGAGACGCTACTTGAGCCCAATTGTATTTTTTCAGCGACTCAAGGCCATAAACAAAGGCCAATTTAAGACGAGCCAACGCAATTGGAACATGAGCATCAGCTGATGAATCAGCGGCCATGTCGTAATAACGTTTAGCGAGATGGAAATCTTTTTTTAATCCTAATCCTTGTTCGTGCATAAAACCCAAATTGAAAAGTGCCTGAGCATTTGATTGTAATTCGGATGCCATTCGATATTGGGCCGCCGCTGTTTCATAATCAACTTCGGTACCAAGTCCATAATAATAATAATCACCCAGTTTAACTCGAGCAATAGAATAACCTTGGGCTGCCGCTCGTGACCAATACATTAAAGCTCGAGCAAGTGACTCGTTTTTCGGGAAAAAATCAACTTCACCTCGATCGAGAATAAAAGCCGCATTACTTTGAGCTTGTTCGTAGCCGAGTTCAGCCATGAAACTGTATTTGATAAAAGCTTCAGCAATTCGGCCCTCTTTATAATCGGCATGAGCGCTCATCAAAGTGGTTCCCCAATTACCTCTCTCAGCGACATTTTTGAATAATTCGACGGCGGTTGAACAAGATCTTAAAATTCCAGTTCCCGATGCATGAATTTGAGCCAAGTTGTAAAACCCTAAGACATGGCCTGATTGAGAAGCCATAGTGAAATATTTAATCGCCGTTTTATAATCTTTAGTAACACCGAGTCCATTGAAATACATGATTCCCAATTGTAATTGTCCGTCAACCCAACCTTGACTCGCCGCTTGAGAAAAATATTTGAAAGCTTTTTGATAATCTTTTTCGACACCTTTACCATACAAATACATGACACCAAGCCCACTCTGTCCAACTGAGTTTCCTTTTTCAGCAGCCATTTTGAAGTATCTTAAAGCGGTCTCATTACTTTGCTGGACCACTGAGCTTCCTTCCAGATACATCTGAATAATTAGAAAAGAGATGCAAATGATATTGTCTAATCATAAAGTAATAATCACAAATCATATGTTACCTTTCCCAGAAATGCCATAGCATTTGCGTTTCCAGCCTCAGCTGCTTGTTGGAAATAATTTAAAGCTCTTGCATGATCTTGTTCAACCCTCTGCCTCCTTGGTAATGTAACTGACCGAGACCAACCTGAGCATGGACATCACCTTTATCGGCCAAGAATTGATAATATTGTAATAGATCATCGTCTAGAATACCAGAATAAGAACCAGGATTTTCCAACTCATCAAGAAGACGAACTCGTTGGATTGTTGTTCCTCCAGAAAACGAAACTTCCTCTTCCACCTTTTTGGCAACTTTTTTGTAGAAATTAAGAGCTGATTCACAGCTTGGAATGACAGATATTCCAGCCCAATGTCGATATCCAATAGCCATTTGAGCGACCGGATTACCTCCTGTGGCAGCGAATGTGTAATAAAGAAAAGCTTTTGCCTGACTAGCTTCAACTCCAAGTCCACTTGCATAAAGAAAACCGAGCAGCTAAGAAACAAAAGAGAGATGGAGAGAAAGAATTAATCAATTGTGTCTATTATCAAGAAAGTCAACAAGATAATTTTTGATTCTATTTACCATCTGAGCCTTAGTATTTCCTTGCCCTGCAAGAGTTGTAAGGAAACTGTGGGCGAGAGACAAATTGATGGGAAGATTATCACCAAAAATCAGCGCTTGTGAAACTATTTCCATGGCTTTGGTGTTGTTCAGTTTCGCCGAATCCACAAGTAGACTGTAAGCTTTTGGTTTGTCCGCTTTTGAACTGTTCAATAGTTTGCTCGCTAATTCGTAAAAAATATTACCTCTTTTCGCTTCTTCCGTAAGAGATTCATCAGAATCTTTTTTGTTCACATCTGACAATCTCATTTGATTATCTCCATCATGACCTCGAATCTGATGATTTTTACTGGAATCTAAATCATCTCCATCGGAATCATCATCAGTCAACTGCTTTTTCTCTGAAACAACATGATGAAAACAATGTAAGGTTAAAAGAATGAACAACAACCATAGAGTTGATTCATTTCTCATAGTTGATATCAACAGAAGTGTAATCAATTTGAATAATATTGTTAATTAATGAACAAAAATGAATAATAATACAGGTAAAATCATGAAGAGGAATTAAATGTTAAATTTGAAAACAAAAACATCAAAAAAACAAATCTTATAACAGTAATGTTATTATTTAGACACGTTCTGTTAGTGAAGCTTTGGAGGCTCCACCTGTTAAATGTAGAGAGAAAAACGTAAATTAAGTGAAAAATACAAAAATAAGAGTTGAAAATTAAGAATTAAGTAAAAGTTGAATAGAAAAGAATATAAGAAAATCAGTAAGACCAAAGTGACATGATGGGCTCGTTGTTGATTGAATATGGATCTTGAAGAGTTTCGGTGAGAAGATGATCACGAGTAAAGTTTTGTCGACTGAAACAATTGCAAGACGGGCAATGAGGTTGATGTCCAAAGATTTTTTGATCTGTTTGTGGTGGTAATTGTTGTGATAGTTGTGATAGTTGTGGTAGTGGTGGTGGTGGTTGTGGCTCCATAAATTGAAAGCTTGGTGTTTGATACGAAAAGAGATGTGGTGGTGAAGGTAATGGTGAATGATTTTTATATGGTATTGGAAAAGGTGGAGTATATTCGAAATACTCTTGATCCGAGGAGAGTAAAGATGATGGAAGAGGAGGAAATTTCTCCGAATCTCCACATTCGGAATCACCTGAAGCTTGTTGGTAACTTTCATCGATAACCAAAGGTCCCTGAGAAGATGAAACAGTTCCTTGAGAGCTAGAATATGATTCAACTTCAATATTCTCCGCGATTCTTTCATATTCTGCTGCGAGAAATTCAATATATTCCAAAGATTTTCTCAGAACAGCACACTGAGTATTTTGCGAAGGATTATCATCAGGAACGATATTCGCCAAATTATTGATTAATTTCTGAAGTTTATGATGACGAACCCTTTCAACTTCTCGATGTTTAATTTTTTTAATCTCAGCACTTTCAGCTTCTTTCATTCTTATTGATTGATGATGATGTTTGATTGATAAAAAAATAAACAAAAATAAACAAAAAGAAACAATAACAATTAACAAATTAGCAGGAAAAAAAAGTCACATTCACGGTGTTTCACATTCACATTGTGAATTTCACAATCATTGATTTAATAAAAAGAATTTTTTTCTTCTCTATTTTTTAAACTCTTTTTTCAACCAATCACATTTTCCTCTTTCACCCCATTGGCTGAAAATGCCCAAGGGAGATGAAGAGAGATCGAGTTATGTAAATGGAGAAGAATTAATTTAATTTTCTTTCGTTAATTAAGTTAATTGTTATTAGTTAATTATTGTTTTTTCGTCAATTTATTTAGCAAATCGTTCAATTAGTTAATTGGTTTATTGGAAAAGAAACCAAAGGATTTCGATTTATTTATCAACAATTGTTCTTTGTTTTCTAATTAGTGTTACATTGTTGCTATGGATCATCTTTAGGTTAATAGTTTTCATGGATTGTGATGATTAATTAAGCCAATTTATTTATTCTTCAGTGATTTATCTTCAATTGAATCAATTTTCTCTGATTATCTTTCATTTTTTCGGACATTTGACATCATGTGCTAATTTTATCTTCTTTGAAGTATTCCTTTGAGAATTGTTTTGAATTTCTATCTAATATTGTGTGTTTAAGTTTAGATTAAAGCTAATCAATGAGGTAAGTTTTGAGTTTAATTAATCTTCATTTTTTATTTAAGCATTTCAATTTCTCATCTGACAATGAAATGGTTATTCAATTAGGAATTATTATTCATAGTTTCGAGACCAAGAGAGAGAGAGAGAGAGAGAGAGAGAGACGTGTAAAGTTTGAATGACAATTGAATCAAATGTAATTCAACAAGTTAAAGTGACAAGATTTAGTTTACAAAAAGAAAGAGGTTTGAAAATTTAGTAACAATTAAAATTTTAAATGAAAAGTGACCACAGATTCTCATTAATTGACTTTTATGATCATTCTTGGACTAATGAGATCTTTTATATTGTTTCAAATTATTTGGTACAATTAGTTGATCATATTATAAATATTAAAGTGAATATGTTATGTGTGTATTAATCAAATGCTTCTAAATCTTTATGACTGATCCTCTTCCATTTTGTTATCCTGGTCTTTTAAATCAACAATAGTTAAATGCGATGAATGATGAGATGAACATGATAACGATGAGACAATAAAAAATGTTCCAAACTCTGTTGTTGTTAATTCAGTTGATGGAAATTAATTGTTAAATCTGTTTCCTTTATATTTTTCTATTATAATTGATGAGACAAAATTTCTCCTTAGAATTGTGAAAAAAAAGAAACGACGTGTTAACGATTATTTAAAATGTTCTAATAAAAGGTGAGCTTGTCGTCCATTAATTACAACTTAAAATTGTGATTGTTCTTTGTCTTATCGGCTATAAATTCAATTACTAATTGTCTCTTTTTCTTTTTCATCTCTATTTAAACAGCATTGGCAAGTACACACGCAAAACAAGCAGCAACCAGTAATGTTAATCCAATTATCAACAAAACAGCAATCATAACATTCAGGAAAAGTTTGAGCATCTTCCTAAGCTCAGTGTCACATCCTTGGGTATTTTGGACTTGATCCAGTCGACATTTGGCCTGAAAACTTGACGCTGTAGGCTCAACACAACATGAAGCTGGAACAGTTTGATCTGAAAACTCTGGTAGATTAGCTGCCCACCAAGTTGGACCATTATAACCACAGCATTTGAATGACCATTGAAGTGAATCAATTGCTGCGGAGACGGAATTTTTCTGGGGACTATTGATTCGATATTCATTGAATGCTGTTTTAAGTTGTTTCTCTAAAACATCATCGATCTAAAATATGAGAAAGCAAAGAAAATTATTATCAAAAAACAGTTAATAATGAATTAGGGAAGAACAGAAAAAAAGTTAGTTCTATTTATATTGAAGTAGAGAAATAGTAAAGCCTCAATTCTTATAATTAATATAATTGAAGCTCTACTCCATTTCTAACGATACTAATGTTACCAGTAAAGTAATGACATTAATTGTTAGTAATCAATGAAAAGAGTAAATTAGAAAAAAACAATCATGGTTGTAAATTAATCGATCATTTATGGTGTCGAATTAATTGCTTAACCATTGAAGGTTAATCTATTTTAATAATTTCTCTTTCTCACTTGATTATATCTCAACCGTTAATGTAATTTCCAGTCGTTTATGTAATCAACTCAATTGTCAATTAGATTTAACACCGAGTTTAATAGTATATTAGTCTTACCTTGACATTGTAAATGATGAATATGATAACCGGAATAATCAAGAGAATCGCTAAAATGCCAACCGTAAAACAATACTGAAGAAAATGGAGAGAAAGTTAATTAGTCCAGTTAATCGAGTTACCCCATCGTTAACAATTAACACTCACCATTCGAAGCATACAAGAGCTTTCCTTAATTGCTCCGAAACAACCGAAAAAGCTGATGACAAAAACTGCGACTCCCGTTAAGATAACTATTATCGCCCCACTGTCCGGTGTATCGATGATCTGTTTAAAGTCCATTGATTTAACCAGGAAATAAACTCCAAGACCGGAAATTGCTGCACCAAGGCACTAATGATGAAAATGGATAAACAAAAGGAGCAAACATTAATTTCATCTGTAAAACAATTTGTAATAAATGATTGATTGTGTCCAATATGTTCATTTGAGATATTAATTTAATCAGTCATTGTAAACTCATTGTATTCATATTTAATGATTAATTGTTTTTCTCATTCATATTGTAACTAAATTGATTGTAAAATCAATCAATTGTTATTGTAGAACATTCAAAAAATATTTATTACGTAATTTTATTAGTTTCCATTAAGGAATATTTGAAAATCAAATTTACTACAAACAACAATCAAGGTTAATTTTAATTGTATCACAACAAAAACTTTTGAAAATTTTGATTTCTAACTGATAATTGAAAATTCTGCTTGATTGTGTTACAAGTAACTGAATTTAACAAAATTTATATTCAATTTCAATCAGAAATAAACAAATTTACATTAAATGGACAATCAGAATCAAGAACAATCAAACAAATGTAGATCAATTTATGAAGAAATTGAATCTTCTCTACCGATTGACCCTTCGAATTGATTCAAACTGACCATTGAACAGAAGAAGAGATTTGAACCGAATTTCCAATTTTAGAAAAAAATTTCAACTCGATTCTTAATCATGGATAATGTTTACATGGGAGAATAGTAATAATCATTGAACTTGGATTTAAATCTTCAGGTAAAATTGGGTTAAAAGTTTTTCTCTTGAAGGAAAAAACGATTGACATGAAAGGTAAGAAAAGTAGATTAATGTAATAATCCATAAAGAGAAAAAGTTTCTTTCGATATTCTAATGAGAATATCAATATTTGAGGTTCATGTTACCTGAAATTGAAGGTTTTGTTGATTCTCAAAAGAAGATGAGTGATTAACTAAGAAACTTAATTATATTTTAATCGTATCGACAAAAAGAAAATGTTGATTACAATTGAAAGAAAATGACATGTTGGACTTTTTTTTTACAAATTCTATTCCATTTCGTGATCATGTTGATCATTAATCGAATCAAATTGCCAACGATTGAATTTTACAATTTCGTTTATCAGGTCAAGGATTAATCGACAAGATAATCATCAATTCGTTGAGAGAGTTAATTAATAATCAACTTTCAATGTGTTATGATGTTAATTGAGCTGATCAATTGGTTGATTGTTAAGAAATTAACTGTAATAAACAAAATTTTTATTCCGCTTCATTTGAACAATTAATTTAATTGTTTAACCCTGAGAATTAACTAGTGAGACAAATTAATTATCAACTGAACACAATTTATTTATTAATCTACCAGAGAAAGTCAATGTTGTTTTTATTTTTTATGGTTGTGATTAAGTTAATCAACTGTCAGTGTTTTCCTCAAGTGATTAATTACAGATCTTTATATCATCTTCGTTTCTGATAATCACTGCGTAATTATCAACGATCTTGATTACTGCTAAATCAACAACAATCAACATCCATATATTGATGGGATATAATCATGGATTCTGTCAACAGGTGATATAAAAGCTAATAAAGTAAAAAAGTCATCAGAAACTAGATCAAAGGTAAAATAGAAGAAAAAAATTGGACCAATCAAAGTAGATTAATGATTATAATCACTAATTAATGTCACAATTAATACATGGAGTCGACAGAGAAATTGGTATTTAGATCAATACCGATATTTTTGGGAGAGTTAATAAAGAAATCAACTATCACGCAATCAACAATTAACTCGGTAAAAGTTAAAAGACAAAGGAAAAGAGTAGAGATTAGGTTAATCAGGATAGAGATTAAATCGACGATCAACTAGATGTTAATCTATCGGCAAATTGGATCACATATGCAAAAAGAATCGACAATTTTAACGGTTAACCCAAATTCGGGTTTAAGGAGCAAAAACAATTAGAGTTATACAATAAGAGAAGTTGATGATTCTTAAATCATAATTAACCGAGTGATTAATTAGCCAAAGAGGGAGAAAATCTGTTCAACTATTAAATCAACAATCATCATTAACAAATGGCAATTAATCTAACATGTTGATCTTGTTGAGTAACAAATCTGATGATGAGGTTAATTGGGATAAGAGATAATTGTTTGAATCTCTGTTTTCATGATTACATTTTCCATGTGCTCATCAAGACCCGTAGATCTGTGAAGTTAATCAAGCTTGAGATGCTTTTTTTTTGTCACTTTTTCCTCCATAATCTTTTAATCATTCAAGGACAACAATCGGAACTGCAATGATTAAGATTTACCCTCAACAATCAACATGGAAATTAATTGGTAATTAGTTGATCAAGAGGAAAACCCTAAAAATTACATAGAGAGACAAAGAGTTAAAACCAATAAGAGAGGGGAAAAATTAAATTGTTTCAACAATAATAATCAAAGATAATTAAGTTAATGTGGTTAACCTCAATTTCTGGAAATGTGAGAGACCTTGTGAGTGTTTAGCTAATTGTCTGTTGATTGTTTTTCTAGTGTTTACCTGACACCATGTTGATTATTACCAACAATCTAATAACATTAACAAAGTACAATGTAGTTAATTGTTAATTGTAGACGAAATTTTTGTTCTATTGCAACAAGTTTTCTGTTGATGATTATTGCAGGAAGATGAAGATTGGGGAAAGAAGGGAAATTATCATCATGATGGAGAAGAAAAATGGAGGGAAAACTGAAGGAAGAAGCAGGAAAAGGAAGAAGAGAGGAAAAGGTGAGAGAAGAACAAAAATGAATTTTTGTTCGGACATGAGTGTCAAAAGAAAAGAACAAATTAATTGTACATTTTTTCTTCCATTTTTCATTGGAAATTGTTTTTCTTTTTCTATTCTCAAGTTTCAAGTTACCTGGACAACAAATTCTCTCATCGTAATGTTTTTATTTTCCATAGAAAATAATACCAACCATGTTTTCACCTTTCAAAGTGTTTTTTTTGCTTTGTTATGATTATGGAAAATCTCTCTCATATTTATCAACTTTTCCTCTTCCCCACCCACTCCCTCTCTTTGTGTAGTAATTAGATTGATATTAACAAAAGAAATAACAAAATGGCTCTTTGAGAGAAAAGAACAAAAAAAAACAAGAGAATAGAACAAAAAATCACTCTAACCAAAGTATTGAAAGTATCAAATGACTTAATTGTTTAGCATTAAAACACAAGAAATGAAAGTAGGAAAGAGAAATCAGTTAATTGTGATCACCTTGATTCACTTTGATCATCACAAATTAGCTAAATTTGTCGAAGCAATTGAAGATTATTCAATTTTGCTCTATTTTATCACCAAAGTATTAGAAAAATACAATCACACAAGAGAATCAGTTTATCTTGTAAATATCATCATGACTTTGTAAAAGATCACAATTAACTGGTTATACTTGTTGATACAATTAAGTGAGTAATCATCATAAGTTAATCATTTTGTAATGTAATTGTTGCTATTAGTAAGAGGATGACTAAGGTAATATTGAAGGAAAAAGGATTGAAACAAGTTAATTGAGTTACAATTGATTGAATGTTAAAAAGTCAACCTAAAACTGTCAATCAATTGTTCAACAATTAGATTAATTTTGATTACAATTAACACAATCAACAGTTGAATACTTACCACAAAAATGAAATTGAATGTGAACAGGACAACCTGTATACACGAGTTACTACAACCCTTAACCATTTTGATTGAGGATTTGATGAGTTACACAAACTGATGAGAGGATAAAGATGTCGTGTTGATTTTAATTCACAATTAAATGATGGTGATGATTGTCACTTGAAGATGAGAATACAAAACAATGAGAGAGAAATTGAAACCAGTTATCAACTGTAAAGGTGAAAGAAAAGAAAAGAAAAGAAATAATTAGAAACAATAACAATAAGAAAATGACAGAGTTTAAAAAAATCAAAGTGAAGAAAATTAAATCATACTGAAAGAGAAAATGAATAATTGATGAAATTGATGATTAATTAAATGGAATCCTGATGAATAATACAATTTACAATAAAAGAATATAAAAAACAAGGGAATTGAGTCACTTGAAGTCTATTCTTAACTGAAGAAAAGTCAAGTTGAAATGAATGAGATTATCAATATTCCCATAGAGACCAATGTTTCTCTCTCACTTATCATCTTTCTCCCTTTTTATCTTCTCTTCCTCTCTCTTTCTCTCTCTCTCTCTTCCATTTCTCAGTAAGTGAATACATTTTCATCTTCGAGAGAGAAATTACCTGAGATCTAAAGCCTGAATGTCTCTCACCTTTCGATCATTATTTTCTTTTCGTTTCCTTGATTTATTTAATTCTCGCAACAATTGAAATTCAATAAGATTTATAATGAATTTTTTCTTGCAACTCGATTGATTTTAAATTAGATGTAATTATAATTAGAATCAATTTATTTTCCTCTCTCAGGTCAATATATCACAACCAAAGGGTCAACATTTGAGATCCAAGATTTTCATAGTTTAACAGAAACAAAATCAATTGGTTTACATTTGATCAACAAAATTGTTCATTGATTGAAACAATTGATTAACTTGTTAAATATTGATAACTAATTCATTGACTTTTTTGTTTAACAATTTGATTGATGTTCAATTGTTAGTTTAATGATTTTCTCTCTGAACAATTTTGTCTTAGTAAATCATTAATTATCTAAATAGATTGTTAGGAAAAGAAACAGTCAACTTACAATTTAATCGGTTGATATTTTTCTCATCGTTGTAAACAAATTGGATTCCAATTGAACAGCAAATGAAGACGTAATTTGATGATGAACGTCACATTAATTGTAAATGTAAATGTAAATTGTTTGTCTGGTTAAGCACTTTGAATTAATTATTGAGAGAAACTGGAAATTGTTCACTTTTGAAAAGGTTTACCTTGAGAACTGATTCTGAACACACACACTTAAACAATTTAGGACAATAGTTTAAGATAGAAACAGTTAAGATGATTGTTAATAAACCTTGATTGTTGAAGATTTAACAATAATAAATTTTTTGATTGTAAACAAAAAGTTGAAGTTGAAAATTCACCAATTTAGTTTGTTTCGTTACAACCAGATGGAAGCACAGATCGAGATGTAACATTTTGTTTTCGAGTTGATTTTTTTTCAATCATCATCTTAATTACATTTGATTGTGGGTAATAAAATTATCCTGAGATGGTCAACTGGAATTACGATAACCAATAGGATGAGTTCTCGGTTTTAATTGGTAATTCAACCAAGATCGATGTTCGTAGATCATATTGGGATTGAAGATTTTTACTCAGAATTGAGTATTGACGATTTTGTAATTGTAATTTCCTTTCGTTTGGATTAATTGAATTGTCAAAAATCGTGGAAAATCATGAAAAACGATGAGTCCGGTGGAATTGAGGAAAATTAGTATGAGATTGCCCTGATCCATGAGATAAAGAGAATAGGAGAGAGAATCAGAATGAAAAAGCTCGAGCTTGGAACAGGATCAGTCTCAGATCATCTTTCTCCATGTGAACATTGAATTAGAACGAAAAGTTTGATTAAAGATGAAGTTGTTGTTAATCACTAGAAAATCCTTTCCATTGTATTCCAACAAGTCACAATTTCAATAGTCTTAAAGGTTAACTAAATCAAAGTCAACCTAGTCAACTGTTAATCCAAATGATAACCAACAACTTTAAAATGATTAATCAGAATCCTTAGTGTCTTTTGGGTAAAGTTACAAAATATTGTTCAAATATCGCCAATAGAGTAACTTTTGTGCCATGATCACCATAATCAGTAAACATTATTATTACTTCATCAACTAATTGATTGTGAATAGGAAATAATCAATCATAAATAGTTGATTTACTATTCGTTTTTTTTGTTCAACTCTAATTACCAATAATAAACAAAATGGATAAAATAAAGTTCAAGTCACAATTATCATCGATATCAATCCAACAATTATCGGTGAATATCCAACAAGTGAAGTTTATTCTAATCATCTCATTAACCACTAATTTAATTGTTCTATGGTTAAATTGTGTCAGTGTGTTGGCTGATTTTACTCAAAATAAGAGACCATCAACTCGGATAGTTACAACTAAATATGGATCATTACGAGGTGTTCACATTAATTTACCACACAATTTACAGCCGGTTGAAATGTTTCTAGGTGAGTAATTAACTAAATCCAATCAGTTAACCAGAATAATCAAATTTGTGTGTTAAAAGATCTAAAGAGTAAAAAAAAAGATGGTAAAATTTTAGTTACAACCAAACAATTTAAAATGTAAATTACATTTCATTTGATTATCTTATTTAGGAAAGATAAAAAAAACAAAATTAAATAAGAATCAAGAAAATTCATCACTAAAATATTAATTCAATTAAGAAACAAGATTGAATATAAAATTCTTATTCAATCTCAATTGAATTAAAATTACATGTTATGAGATTTTGAGTAACAAAAACAAAAACATAACCATAAATAAACACAATCAAATTAGTGATACGATCTAAATTATTAAGAGATTTGAAATGTTTTATGTTTCACATTTTCATGGTGAAAATATTTTCAAGTTAATTGTTTCTCATTCAATCGTTTAATTATCACAGGTATTCCATATGCTAGTCCACCTACTGGTAAATTAAGATTCATGCCTCCGGTTACTCCAGCTCATTGGAGTGGAATCAGAAATTCTGATAAACATGGTCACGTTTGTCCACAAAATTTACCAAATATTACCAATGAACCGGAAACACTACGTCGGATGACCAGAGATCGACTTTTCCAATTGAAAAGGTTGATCCCATTACTTCAAAATCAAAGTGAAGACTGTTTATACCTCAACATTTACACTCCGGCACCTAAAGGTAAGAGAGAAACGAAGACAATTAATTTTTCAACAACTCTAATCAACTACAATTAGTAACCTCAACAATGCACTTAAAGTAATCAGTTAATTGTGTTAATTTCAATACATTGAAATGTGTCAAAGGTAAGAGAGAGAGAGAGAGAGAGAAAGGATTACCTTTGTTAAGTAACATTCCCCATGAACCATGTGTTCAAATGGTTAATTGATTGACGTTCAATCTTCACATGTAATTTATAAACCATTTTGTAAGATATGATCAATATTCAATGTTCCCATTTAATTACCAATTTGAAAGACTTCAATGTTATAGGAGAACTTTTTTTTCCATAGTCAAAAAGGGTAAATTCATTAAGAGTCTTCCATTTTTCCTTATTGGTATTTGTTGCCTGTAAAAGGAGAGATTGAAATCATTTAGTGTTTAAGATCATGAGAAGAGGAAAAGGTGTTAAAATTGATTTACCAGGAATAAATTCACAAGATTATTAGATTTACTAACTAGATCATGAGAGCTTAATAATTGTCTATAAAATGTGAAGGTGTAATTGATGGTAAGATGAAAGGTAAGATTTAAGGTAAGTATCACATTCAACTGGAATCCATCATTTATGGTGTTTAACACAACTAGATTAATTTAATCTCTCCATAGAAGATTTATGTTGATTAAGAAAATTTGATTTACATGGAAATTAAGTTGATTAGTTGGAGAGAGAAACAAAAAAAAAAGGGTTGACACTTTGAGGTAACCATTTTGAATTAATGTCTCTTTCCAAAATTTTTCTTACAAAAAGGAGATCCGAGTAAACATATTTTCCACTGAACTGACCACAGATTCTACAAAACAGATCGATTAACATTTAAATTAGAAATTAGATTAAGTTAATTAACTAATTAGTAAAGAAAGAAACAATTTGAAGAAGAAAATTAAAAAAAATGGTCGACAAAACGTTCGATTGGACACTGCCATCTATCGATTTTTATTCCAACTTTTTTAATCGAATTTTTTTTTATTCTTTTTTTGTTTTAATTCTGTTAATCTCTTTAACTCTTCAACAATCAACTAGTTGAATCTTTTTCTCCTTCTAATTAATTTGATTCACAATTTGATTTTTTTTCCTTCTAATTGTCGGGTAAATGAATGTTCCATGTTAACTATTGTAATTAGAAAAAAGTTAATCAAGACTAATTAACTGAATGGAATTGATTTTCTTTCACTTTTTCGGTTTGTGTCTTGTTATTATTTACTAGTGAATCTCTTATGTGTTTCTGGTGATTAATTAATTGGATTGTTTTCAAATTTCCATTTGACTGTGAATGTCCAAGTGGTTAATTTACTTGTGTGAATTGTAGCTGATTGTCCAGTTAATCTTGGACTCAAGTATTATCTTGTCCATCTCTTGTGTTTTCTGTCCGATTTGATGTGATTTTTTTTTCATCAAAATCTTTTTTCTAATGGTGAATATTACATTTTGAAATTCATTCCTTTTCTGTGTCAATCTTAACTTCTCAAATATCGTATTATTATTGTGTCAGTTTGTTTATCAATTCTTGTTAATCTTCATTTTTATTCGTATTGATTCATCTTTATTCTTTTTTCTGTGTCAATTCTTTCAATTCTCAAAGTGAAGTGAATACTTGGTGTTTCTTTTTGCATCTTCGTCATCACCTTATTTCCATGATGTCTTATGGTTTTATCTCTTTATTTTTTTTTCTCCGTTGATTTTGATGTTCATCTTTATCTCATTTCTCTTCCCTGCAACCCTTTTACTTGCTTTAATTCACCTTGTCACAACACAACAAAATCATGTGAGTAATAATATGTTTTTCTTTTATCCATGAGAAATATACAGTACATATATTTAAGAATGTTACATCTCTGTGTCTCCTCTATGTGTTTTCATCGTCACAATTTAAAAGAAGGAACAAAAATTAGAATACATTTGGCATGGTTACTGAAACGAGAAATACACAAGTTATATTATTATTTCTCTCCCTCCATCTCTCACTCACTCATAATAAATATATCTGATACCGAAAAAGATAACTGATATTGTTTATGAATATTCACCAGTGTTAAGTCTAACGAAAAGAATCAGAATTCAAATTATCTTGAGGTAGAGAATGAACAAAGAAAATTATGATGAAGGAAAAATAAGTTCTCCCATGTAAGAAATAGTGATTTCTTTTTTAGAAAGATATTTATTATATATATTTTTTTCCATACTCTTCAATCATAGATATATTTCAATCATGATCTATTGTAGTTATCCCACTATTTTTATCATTTTCTATTTCAATTTTGACATCACTTGATTAAACCTCAATACAGCAAGAAAAACAGGTAAAAATAATGTATTACAAGACCTTTAATGTTTTGATACCCATAAGGTAATCATATTATTATTATATCTGTATTATTCATCCATTTGATGCAAAAGTATACAGACAATATTTTAGATATTGTAAGACAATAATATTATGATAACAGTAATCATGATTATTGTGAAAATCTCATTACAGTTCTTGAAATAGATGAAAAAAAAAACATAGATTTCATGATACATGTGATCAATCTGATAAGATGAATTGACAGGAAGTTAAGGTACTTCCTTCAATATTATTCTGAAATTTTCTTCTTCCCAATCCATAGATTCTATCTCTTTGGAAGTTCATCTTCTATCCAGAATCGAGTATTTTTTTTTCTTCAAAAGTTGACCTTATATTGACCCTTGTCGAAAGTATCTTGATGAACTGAAACTGATTACTTTTATCATTGTTTGTCATTAAAACTCATAAATACCTTTGACTTATCTTTACCTTTAGCAAATAAATTAGGTTAATCGAGTTGATAAAATTTCTAATCAAATCAATTTTTCATTGATAACTATCAACATTTTTGCTTTGTAATTGTCAGATTACAAAAAGCAATCTAATCCACCTTTCACTCAGGTTAATCCCCTCATCAACAAAGCATAAATAATAACAGTTCAATGTGACCCTTTAACTTTGATCAAATCTTATCATTGATTTAATATGTTATTTGCCATAGTAATTAATTATCAATTTAAATAATTAATGATGAATAACATGATTAAAGATAATTAAAAGATATCACAAAAATGTTATCACGTTAATTAACTAAGATTACGATTTGATGAAAACATCACCAACTTTCATTTACCATTTTAACCAAAGACCTGAATCAAATGTTGATAGTTAGTTAATTGCTGTGTGAGTTTTTTTTATATCAAATGATTTGTCTATTTTCCCCCTTAATAATTTAAATCAAACTAGATTAGAATGATATTTATATCATCATTAACTTGATTTCATTATCTTCCAGTATCATGAGCCTTATATGCACAGAAACAAGAGCAATTGTTTCCAGAACTTTTTTTTCCTTAAACAAACAATTCATTTTAAAGATAACTTTTTTCGTCTTATATCTTTTCGTATATTCAAATTGATCCCCAGGTTGTAATTTGTAAATTACAATCAAAATCATTACTTTTAACACACTTAACTCTCTATGTGACTCTTTTGTTGTTAATGAGAAAATATAATTATAGTTCTGACAAAAACAATCGATGTAAAATAATAACAGTTTATCATCATTACCATTTCTCATCATTCCTAAAACCTCCCAGTTATTAAGATGAAATAATAAATGTTGAACAATTTACCGTTAAATTAAAATTGAAAGAAGCAAAATTTTGGTAACAATAATGATCATGTTGATTAAAATGATACCAGTTATCATTGTAATACTAACCCAGTATTTAAAATCATCTCTAGTTTTCAATTTAAACGTATCATTGAGATTCAATTGATTCATGAACAGCAATTTAATATAATTTAAATTACCTTTTATTTGTTTTATTATATATACGTTTTGCTACATTAATTTTTATTCTAACATTTGAAAAACAATTTATCTTAATAATAAGTTTTTTTTTCTATTCCATTCCAACTCATCATTATCGTTACCAACTTCATGTTATCTACCATGAGTTTCATGGTTATTTGCTAATGTGAATAACTTTCTAAGCCCATTGAGACCTCTAGTTCTTGATAGTCATGGCTGCCTTTTTTTCTGTTTTAATTCTAATATATTTTGATTAATTGTCGACGATTTTTATTAATCCAGTGTATTTAAAGTTAACTAATCGTTTTCAGAATTAATTAAGAAATTGTTATCATGTTAATATATTAAGAAGTCAATCAGTTGATTGATTTGGTTGAAACATGAGAGTTGATTAAAGTTATGATTACACTTTAGTTAGTAACTAATTTACTTGATGATCAAATTAATTATTATTAATTATCGAGATGATTGTATTACCACCGTGATGATTATGTATAATCAACAATGAAAGTAAAGTCACAATCCAAGTAATTTGTGTTAGCTTCATTAATTTATGATTATTACTGTCATTATCAATTTGATTTCTAGTTATATTGTTCATTACCATGATCACAATTAACTATTAATTCAATTTGAGAGGTTGGAGGTTAATAAATATCCAGCTTAATAACAAATTATGATCACTAAATTACCTCTTTCTCTTACTTTTTCAAATCTAATTAAATTTTGGTAACTCTTTAACCACTAAATCAAAAAGGTAATCATTGACCTTAGGTCATTTGATAATGATTACGATATGTGGTTAGAGTTAAATTGAAGCCTTCAAGTAGCATAAGTAATCATCATGATGATTGTTAGGAGCCACAAAAAAAGTGATAATGAAAGAAAATTAAATGAACTCATCTACAATTGATTCAAAACAATTTTATCATTAAGATGACCATTACATGTACTATGTCCATTTGCTCCATTTCTCTTATTATGTTGAAGTAATAATATTTCATTCATCATTTTCTGTATACAAATGATAATAATAGATTGAAATTTTATCTTTAACTTGAATCTGAATGAAAGTTTTTCTCTTTTCATAGTTTGGATCATTGGATTCAAGACTTTTCCCTGTACCATCTCAATGAATTTTCATTCCGTGAGAAAGCTAGAATGAGAGAGTAAGATAACTTGAAACCAATATTCATCTCAACGATAGAGTGTTTTCTTTTCTTTTCTTCATGAAAATGGATAAAAGTATAAGAAAATTATCTTCCATCTTGAATTATTATTGTTCTGCTTCTCAGCATGGTAAAAGTTTCCTGATGATTCGATGAAACATTTTCTGATCCTGAGAAAAAAATATGAAACCGTTGAGATACAGAAGAGAAAGACAGAGACAATTTTTGGATTTAAGAATAAAGCAGAAAGAAAAGAAAAAAGTTAAGATGAAAAGTTACCAAGTTTTCAAGAAGAATATGATGATGATGATAATGATGATGTTACGAAGATGAGAAAAAGCATAAATGTGAGTTCAAACTGATGAAAATGATATCAAATGAAATGGTCCATTTGACGATTAAGAAGGTGGAATTGATGACCAGAAAATGGGTGGGATGAAAGTCTAACATATGATAGAAACCAAATGTCCATTTGAAATATAATCTTCTTTGTATATTCAATTTGATATAATTTTCTCCCACATCTTCCTCTCACTGATTTCCATTAACTTGAGTTAATAATTGTAAATTTACAGTCAACTTATTGTATTTTCATGTTGGGTTAATCGTGATTAACAAATGATCATCATAAATATTAATAATATACTCGTCTACTCAATTACAATTGAAATTAATGATTCAATTCAAATGTTTACCTTTTCATTTTCATAAAATTAAGTAATGATAGTTTTTAATTTCAATGTTATAAACAAACAAAAATTACATTTCTATGTTTACTCAATACAAGTTAACCCTAACAATTCATTAATATTGAACAATCTGTAATCTGTTGAGATAATCTTTCAGTCTTGAAATAATTAGAAATTAATTGACTTGAATCATGTTATTCAAATTTCTTCAAC